CCGGATTGGATAAACAGCAGGATTAAGTGTTTACTCAGAGCAGAACGGGGCTGCTTGTTTTTATGTGGGAGAGGGAACACAATGTGCCGGGGATCTGGTTTCAGCACCATGTTTATCGGCTGCCCCGCTCGAGACTGCATCCCGCCCACGGCGCAGCGAGTGTGAGTGTGTGTGTCAGAGTCAGGGGGGGGGATGGGGGCGGTCCTCCGGCTGCACTGCCCACAGTTCCTGGAAGTGGCGTGAAGCCGCTGCAGATTCCTACGATTACTCACAATAACAAACTCCCAGAGTGTCCTGCCGTCCAAGCGGAGCGACGCGGGAGAGAGAGAGAGAGAGAGAGAGAGAGAGAGAGTGTGAGCCAGCGCTCCACTGGGGGGTTTGTGAGTAGAGCTGCTCTCTTCCATGAAAGTCTGCTGTTTCTTTGCTGAAGCACCTTACTCGATAGCAGCCTGCATGTAACCCCTCATATCCGCTTTCATTAAGGCTCCCAAACAAACACAGCCGCTCTGAGTGTTTCTTTACAATCTCACCGCAGACGCCGACGATGATCGCTCGGCTCGCGCACCTCCCGGCATTTTCGTAGAATGCCCACCCCTGCCCCCCAACCCCGAGCTGCTTCCCAGACTCCCAGGAAACGGCAGTTTTTTCCCCACTGACCATTAGGGCTTCATGAATAGAGTTACTCAGGCGTATTCTAATCCTGCCTGCCTGTAAGGGGAACCATATGTTTACAGCCCTATATTTAGGCTTAGTGTAAACAATTTAATTTTAGAAAACTTCTCTTGGTCACTCAGGGTTTCAGCTTCATTTACAAACAACTAAGCGAAATGTCAATTGTGTAGGAAAGTGAACAGGCTTGGAAGACCCAGGTCTGAGCCTGAGCCTGAGCCTGGACCCAAACTTGGATCTGGGCCTGAGCCTGGGCCCTGCTCTGTCTGTCAATACATGGATCCCCACCTCGAGGTGAAGGCCTGGCCTGTGCTTGCGAGGACCTGGAAGGTGCCTCCTGTTTCAGGGTGTGTGCATCAGCTAGGCTCCTTGCTCTCGTGGCCCTGCCTCTTCCTCATCCCCACACAGTTGCTTCTGCCTCGTCATGCCCTGTCACACTTGTGTCACGCACACACATACTCTCAATATAGCTGTGCTTCCACCCCATCACGCCCCACACATCCCGTGTCTCTCACGCACACGCAGGCCAGGGCGGGTATGGTGTATTCCTATGTGATTGTCCCATTGTGAGTGTCCTTTTGTGATTGTCCTGTGTGAGAACCCCTGCACCCATATGAGCCTGTGATCCCCTGTGTGATTATCCCTATATGATTGCCCTCTGTGAGAACACCCTGTCTCCGTGTGTGTGTCCCTATCCCCTGGTGATTGTCCCCTGTGCGAGAGTCCCTGTGTGATTGTTCCCCGTGTGAGTGTCCTCTGTTCGAGCGTCCCCGTGTGAGTGTCCCCTGTTCGAGCGTCCCCGTGTGAGTGTCCTCTGTTCGAGCGTCCCCGTGTGAGTGTCCTCTGTTCGAGCGTCCCCGTGTGAGTGTCCTCTGTTCGAGCGTCCCCGTGTGAGTGTC